ATAGTTGCTCCACAGGATAAAGTCATCTCAGGTAAATGCTGCTTTTCATCCTTATTCATCTTCACTCAACCAAACTTTTAATTTTTAAAAGAATCGTCTCAATGGCACATTGTTAGAATTTGTAATAGAATGTGAAAGCTGGAAATTGTAATGTTCCCATTAGTGTTTTTTGATTCCAGCACATTATAAAACACCCCACAACTTCATCCCTTGTCACTGTCATCAAGGAGCCAGTGCTGAGTGAGAATGGGGGTGGATCACTGCTAATGGTGACCTGGGGGTCCCATTAGAAGGTGCCACTTTGCTCTTTAGCTAAGGGATTTCATATTACCAAGCAAATATTCTTGTTCAGGCAGTTGATTAGTGTTGCCAGCTCTGCAGGCAGTGTGTTTGAAATTAAGGGGGAAAAAAATCGAGGTTTTGCAAGGACAAGGTGAGTCTCCATTCAATTGTAGGTTATTGCAGGGAATTTTCCCGACAAGACAAAATTCTGTGAATATAAAACCTATTCTGAAACTGGATTGATGAGTGCTATGGCAGGAGTTGAGGATGAATGAAAATTTAGGTCTCCAGAAATGATAAGAGAAAATAAGACTATAAAAAGAGTCCTAGAGGAGCTTCCAGCTTTCTGTCATGACTGGAATTTCTCAGGCTTAAGAAAAATAACTTGTGTTTTTAGTGACTCGGAGAGAGAGAGGCTCTTATTGCCATATAGCTGAGCAAATAAAGGGATGCCGTTTCTGGGTGTAGAAAAGCACTGCCCAGGGAAAATGCAATTTTCATTAACAAGAATTATTTTAAAAAACAGAAATATATGAAATGATCTATCTTTAGGGAAGCAATCAAGGACTCAAACACTCCATGTGATGGACCGAGAATAAGTATCTGTCCTTTGTGTTAGGGTAGGTGCTCTGGAGAATTCAAAGACAAGTCTCTCAGACCAAGGAAGGAAGCTGAGGCCCATGGAAAACTCAGGCTGCTCAGCTTTAGGAAACCTCAGAGACGTCTGTCAGTAGAATAAAGTCCTGACATCTTTGCCAGCTGTGTAAGGCTTTATGATCTGCCCCCACCCCCGACACCCTAAATGTCAATGTACTTCCCCTACACATCTTCCTTCTTTTTTTAATCACTGGAAAAATATATTTCACATAAAACTTGCCATTCTAACCTTTTTTTGAGTCTACAATTCAGTGGCGCTAATTATATTCATACTATTGTGGATCATCGCCACAACTTTGAAAACTTGTCATCATCCTAAACAGAAACTCAACAGCTATTAAATAGTAACTCCTATTCTCTCCCTCCTCCTTGGCCCCTGGTAATCTCTCATCTACTTTCTGTTTCTAGAAGTTTGCATATACTAGATATGGCTGAATAACATGAATAGCATTGCATTGTGTTATATGATATCTTTTGTTTTTTTTTTAACCCATTCATCTGATGATGGTCATGAGGGCTGTTTACAACTTTTGTCTATTGTGAATAGTGCTGCCATGATCACTGGTGTACAAGAATTGATTCTTGGTGGGCCATGTGGTAATTCTATGTTTGGCTTTTTGAAGAACTGCCAGATTGTTTTTCCACAGCAGTTGGAACAATTTTTACATTTCCATCAGCAATGTGTGAGGGTTCCAATTTCTACAAATTCTCATTAACACTCTTTTTTTTCTTTTACAAATTACAGTGGTTCCACTTTATCCATAAGGCATAGGTGCCAAGAACCCCAGTGAATGCCTAAAAATGCAGATAGTGCTGAGTCCTATACAATAGTCCCTCCTTTTCCCATTATCTGTGGTTTTGTGTGTGGCTTCTGTAATCCACGGTTAACCAGGGTCCAAAAATATTAATGGAAAATTCCAGAAATAAACAATTTATAAGTTTTAAATTGCATTGCTGTTCTGAGTAGTGTGATAAAATCTCTAGCCATCCTCCATTCTGCCTGGAATGTGTTCATCCTTTTGCCTGATGTATCCACACTTTTTCTGCTTCCTGCCCTGGTTACTTACTAGCCATCTCAGCTATCAGATCAACTATCACAGTGTCTTAAGGCTTATGTGAACACAAGCACTATGTAGTACTCTAATGCTACATCCAAACCTACATCACTCATCTTACTTCATACCAGCACATAGGCATTGTTTGACTTCCCCTCATCACAAGAAGGGAGTGGAAGTACAATAAGATATTTCAGGGGCAGAGAGAGAACACATTCACAGTTTTTATAACTGTCATTGTTCTAATTTTATTATTGTTTTCAATCTCTTATTGTGCCTGATTTATAAACTAAATTTTATCACAGCTTTGTATGTATAGGGAAAATATAACCTTTACTGGACTTCTATTTAACAGTGCCTTTTGAAAAGCATGAATTCATAATTTTGATAAAGTCCCATTAATATAAAACTTTTCTTTCAGGAATCATGCTTTTAGGATTGTATCTAAGAAAACTTTGCCTAACCCAAAGTTCTAGAGGTTTTTCTTGTGTTTTCTTCTAGAAGTTTTATACTTACAAACTTTACATATAGGCCTACAATCTATTTGTGTTAACTTTTGAATATAATTAATGAATAGATCAGAGTAAAATTTCTTTTGCATATGGATGCTTAATTGTTATAGTACAATTTCTGGAAAAGATTCCCCTTTCTTCACTGAATCACCATTGAACTTTTATTGGAAATCAATTGGCCATGACTGTGTTGGTCTATTTCTGGATTCTCCATTGATGAATTTGATTATCTTATTGTAGTGCCATACTATCTTGATTATTGTAGCTTTATACAATAGGAGCTCTAGATAAGTCTTGAAGCGAATAATGTATATTTTCCAACTTTGTTCTTTTTTTTTAAGTTGCTTTGGGTATTTTAGGTCCTTTGCATTACTATGTAAATTTTAGCATCAATTTGCTAATTTATACACAAAAGATTGCAGGGATTTGTACAAGACATTCTTAAGAAAAACTAAAAAATACATAAATAATATAGATACATACAGAGTTTGTGGAATCTATATTATTACAATGTGAATTTCCTTCATTAACCCATACTTACCTACAGTCCCTACTTGAAAGGTGTCTACACTCTAATTTCTGGTGTTGATGCCTGGGTATATTTGTTACATGTTAAAGGGACTTTGTAAGTAAAATTAATGTTATAAGCCTTAATAGAGGTAGATATTCCTGGATTGCTTAAACAGGCATAATATAATCATATGGACCCTTAAAAATGGAAGAGGAAAATGGAAGAAGGGTCAAAGGGGGAGATGTGTCAGAAGAGGCAGAAAAGACCTGAAGTGTGAGAGGGTCTTGACTCACCATTGCTTGGAAGATGGAGCCAGGAAATGTAGGTGACCTCTGGAAGCTGAGAACAGCTCTTGGATGATAGCCAGTAAGGCAGTAGGGACCTCATTCTTATAGCTTTGAGGAATTGAATTATAACAACAGCCCAAATAAGCAAGGAAACAATTCTCTTCCATAGTCTCTAGAAAGGAATGCAGCCAACATCTTGGCTTTGGCTTTATGAGACATACGTGATGGTTCATCTTATCTGTAGGTAGTGGTTTCATCAGGACACTTTGCTTTTGGTAAAAAGCATCTGCAAAATGTCTGGAGGCAGGAATGTGTTCAAAGGATCCTTTGTAAAACGCCACAAGGTTTCAGATAGAACAAAATTAAGCTACAAAATTAGGATATTTCAGGGGCAGAGAGAGAACACATTCACACCCTGCTACAAACCCACTTTACTTATAGCCTATGAAAACTGTGATATAATGAATAGATACTGTGTTAAGCTACCATGTTTGAGTGTTATGGCAGTTGAAGAAAATGAATACCTTTTTGTATCTACAGAAACTACAGTCATGATATCAATCTTATTCTTGATATCAGCAATTTTGACTTCTTGCTTTTTAAGCTATTCAGATTGGTTAAGTTTATTAGTGTTATTTATTAAAAAAACAACAACAACCAGATTTTGGTATCACCAATATTTTTGTTTTCTATTTCATTGATTCATGTTTTAGTCTTTGTTATTTCTTTTCTTTTGTTTATTTTGGGTTTCACAATTGGCTCTGTTAGCAAGTGAGTAGACTATTTGGACAAAAACTTCATGAAAGAAAATATATAGATGGCAAATAAGTACACATAAAGATGAATCAATAGGTAAATGTAATTTGAAAACACAATAAGATATCCATCTCCCACCCATTGGAATGTCTAAAATCAGAAAGACTGACCAATTCTCAGTGAAGATGTGGAGGAACTGGAATCCTTTTGGAAAACAGTTTTTCCACTTCTTAAAACATAAGTATTCCGCACAGCACTCCTTAATATTAACCTCTCATATGATCTAACCATCCCATTCCAAGATATTTACCCAAGAGAATGGAAAGCATGTGTATATACAAGGAATTGTATATGGTTGTTCATAGCACACTCATTTGTAATAGTTCAACACTAGAAACAAGCCAAAGGTCCATCAAAGGGTGAATGGTACAATGTGTCATAGCCATATCACGGTGTACTACTAACAGTGACAAAGAATGAACTATTGATCCACAAACCAAAACCAATGAATCTTAAAATAATTATGCTGACTATTGATTTTCTAGCTACATGATCTGTCCTTTGAGAAACAGAGCAAAATATATGTACTATATGATTAATAGGGAGTCTATATTTATATAAAATATAGAAAATGTAAATTAAACTATAGTGAAAGAAGAGATGAATAGTTTACTGAGAGTGTGGGGGGGTGATAGGAGGAGCTAGAGGGGTAGAGAGCATGCGTATGCATGAACCTTGAGCAGTAAGAATATGTGCATTTGTCTTTATTATAGTGTTGGTTTCATGAATCTACACTTAAGTCAAAATAGCAATTATTCATTTTAAATACGTGCAGTCTGCCATATATCAGTTATCCTCAATAAGAGATTAATCAGGGGAGAATAATTAATTGGTCTATTAACAATTGAACATATATATCTCCATTTTTTTTATTTTTCAGGATGGATTGCTATTCTGGGTGCCATCTGGCTGCTAATTTTAGCGGATATCCATGATTTTGAGATAATTCTACACAGAGTGGAATGGGCAACCCTTCTGTTCTTTGCTGCACTCTTCGTATTGATGGAGGTAAGACTTTTGTTATCTTTTATCTTTTATCTGCTTTTAAAATTTCATATTTTATTCAGTAAATGATGAAAGCCTAAGTCTATAACTCTTTCTACATATTACTATGTAGAAAATTATGGAAACTTATAATTTGTATTATTTTAAGTTAACCAACTTTTACCTAAGCCATCTAAATGTTTTTGTTGAAATTATTAGGTTGCTATTGTTTTTTTTCCTTTTCTTTTTTGTGTTTTGCACAACCTCTTTGTGGCTTGGAAACTTCTTCTAATTTCATTTGCTATAAAGGAGAATGAACCTGAAGTGTTTAAGGAGGTTGAAATGCTGACTATATTGATTTGAACAGTACACATTGTGTAGGTATAGATCTATCAAATCATCTCATCATTTCCCATAAAATGTACAATTATTATATGTTAAGAAAAGTAGAATTTGCTCAAAATAGGGTTTGGAGAAAAATGACTTGTGACAATAAGTTTACAGGGTAACATTACCTTGATAATCGAGTTCAGTTTGTGTTATATTTGAGTACTTCTGTGTTGTCATGGAAAAGAGTGAACAATATGTGTTGTTGTTATCTATATAATCTATCTATCTATTTATTTTATTTTTTAGTAATAGTTGGAAACAATACCTTTATTTTATTTATTTACTTTTATGTGCTAAAGACCAAACCCAGGGCCTCGAACATGATAGACAAGTGCTCTATAGCTGAGCTACAACCCCATTGTTTCAGTTACAATTCTTATTGTAGAATTATTCACAACACATTTTAATCCTGAGACTATTTATGAACTTGTGTCTTCCTCAGACTCAAAGGTTGACTAACAAAGAAAAATGCTACTCTGCAGGCAATTCCCTCTCAAACACTGCTCTTTTGCATTAAATTTAGCATATATTTATACTTCCATTTTCATTCAGTGAAAATGAAAAATTATTTTCTAATTTTCCATGTAATTTATTTTTGTTTTATGGGTTATTTAAAAGTTCCAAATCTTAGGGTTCGTCCATGTTTCTTTCTGTTTTTGATTTAATTCAGTTGTGGTCACAGGGCACACTTTGCATGGTTTCAATCTTTCAAATTTTATTGAGACTTGTTGTGTGGTCACTATAGTGTTGGTCTGTTTTCTTCTGCTTGAAGAATATGTGTGTTCTGCTATTGTGTGCTGGAATGTTCTATAAATGCCCTATATGTCATGCTTGTTAACATTTTTGCTGAAGTCTCCTATAGATTACTGATATTCTGGTAACTGTCCTAAAAGTGAGATATTGAAGTCTCCAACTAGTATAGCTGAATTATATGTTCTTCCTTTTGTTCGGTGATAGACTTTTATAATTATTATATCATTTGAACTTTTGTCATTATCAAATGTGCCTCTTTTTCTCTGGTAATAATATTGTCTTAGTGTATTTTGTCTGATATTAATATAGCCATCTCCACTCGTTTTTATTACTCTTTGAATGGATTATCATTTAAAAAATCCAATCTGACAATTTCTCCCTTTTTATTGGGAAATGTGTACTCCATTTCATTTAATAAAACTATTGTTTTGGGGCTGGGGCTGGGGCTGGGGTTCAGTGAATGCTTACCTGGCACGTGTGAGGCACTGGGTTTGCTCCTCAGCACCACATAAAAACAAAATAAAGGTATTGTGTCCACCTACAACTAAATCATACATTTTTAAAAAAAAGATATGAGAAGTTGATTTAAAAAAATTATTGTTGTTGTTGGTTCAATGTATGCTGTTTTGATATTTTTTTTTTCTCTGTTAACATTTTTTCTATATAGATTTTGTTTTACTTTATTGAGATCACACCACCCATGGATTTCTCATCCTGATTTTTCTCACCAAAATACAAATAAGCATTTCCATATCATAAAGTATATTTCATATAAGCAAAATTTTAATCAATATCTGAGATATACTCCCATTTTTTTATTATTTGATTTTTTAAATATACATAATAAATACATTAACAAGGATAAATAGTTTATCTTTTTAGACTAACAAAGATAAATAGTTTAAACAAGTGATTGGATGGAGGATGGCTATGTGTTGCAATATTTGACTGTTTTGATATTTTTATTGTCTCATATCTTTTTTGTTCAGCTCTTTCTGCTTCATTTCTTTATTTTATGTGAATATTATCTTGTGTACTGTTTTAATTCTTGTCTTTGTTATTTTTTTAAAACTATACATTTAAATTATTTTTAACTGCTCCAGAGGTTAAGTTATACATCTTTATATATATATATATATATATATATATATATATATATATATATACACACACACACACACACACACACACACACACACACACACACACACAAATATATCTATATTGGACTAATACTAACTTCTGGCAAAATACAGAAATCTTTCCCATATTTCCATTTTGTCCTCCTTCCCTTTGTGCCATTATTGTCCCATGTCCTATCTTTATGTGATATGCCTAATGTACAGTTTTGTCATTATTTTATGCAATGTATTTTAAGTCAGTTAAGAGAAAATATATCATTTTATCTCCTATCTGTCTATCTACCCTCAATACTTACCTTCTCCAGAACTCTTTACTGCCTTATATGGATTTAAGCTGTTATATGGTGACACCCTGAGGGATTCTTTCATTATATCTGGTAAAGCGGGTCTGCTAGCTGCAAATTCTCTTGGTTTATATACAAATGTCTTTATTTTGCTTTCATTGTCAAAGTGTTGTATTGCTTGATCTCTGCAGAATTCTTGGTAGTTTCCTTTAGGCAGTCCAAGCTATCATTCTACATTCTCCAGTTTTTCTTATGGGAAGTCAGCTCTTATCAATATTGTTCATCCCTTGTGTATATCAAGTAACTTTTCTGTTGCTGCTTTTGAGGTGTTGTTTCATATTTCAGTAATTTGATTATGTTGCAGCCAGGAGTGGATCTCTTTGTGTTTATTCTGCTTGTCATTTTTTTTCTTTTCAGCTCTTCAGATCTCTAATATTTTTAATCAAATGTGGATATTGGGATAGTCTTGGGTTATTAATTTTTTATTCATGTTTCCTTTCTTCCCTTAAAATGTATTTCTTCTCTCTGAAGCTCCCATTATAAACATGTTGATTTACTAGATTGTATCCTACATTTTTAAAAAATATTTTATTTTTCTTCATTCTTTTTTCTCAGTGTTCTTCAGATTAGATACTTTCATTCTGAGTAAGTCTTTTTACATCTTCTCAAATCTGTTATTGGGAATCTCTTAGTTAGTTTTTCATTTCATTCATATTTTTCAATCCCCAAATGACCATTCTGTTCTCTTAAAAATAATCTTTATCCTTTTATGATAGTCTCTGTTTAATGCACTGCTGTTATTAGTTTTCAATTCTTTAGGCTTGATTTACTTTAGTTCTATGAGCATATTCAAAATTTGCTTTGAAATTTTACTAAGTTTAATATCTGGGTCCCTCAATGACAGTTTCTACCCCAGAGTATGGGTTACTATCTTCCTCCTCTTCATATATTGTAATTGTTGTCAAAAAACTAGAAATTTTAATCAGGTAGTTTAGCAACTCTGGATGCTGATTAATCTTCCTGAAGGATTGATTCCATTTATATGAATCACTATGAAATGTTTTTTGCTTCTAGAAACAATTTTGTCTCAGTTTTATATTTTTATGGCCACTGTAGGGTTTTTATTTTTAACTGTTTGTGCAATATATCTAACCTAACATGACAGCAATAATCTCATATAGTTGAATTACATTTTTAAAAAACCCATTCACCAATATCTTCTTTTTATTTGGTATATTTATTTAATTTATGTTTGATATAAATACTGAGAAGGTGGAATTTATAGTCAACAATTTTCTATTTTTTAAAATATTTTTTAGTTGTTGATGGACCTTTATTTTATTTATTTTTATGTGGTGCTGAGAATCAAACCTAGTGCCTCTCACATGCCAGGCCAGTGCTCTACCACTGAGCCACAACCCCAGCCCAACATTTTTCTATTTTTTAAAAAAGTTTATATTTATATATTTCCCTGATAAGGTGCTTGTTCATATCACACACAACTTTTAGGTTTCACTTATTCCCAGCTGATTTATTTTATTTATTTATTTATTTATTTTGTTTGTGTGGTGCTGGGGACTGAACCCAGGGCCTTGTGCATACAAGGCAGGCATTCCACCAATTGAACGAGAGCCCAGCTGATTTTTTTTTTATTTTTTATCGTTAGTTGTTCAAAACATTACAAAGCTCTTGACATATCATATTGCATACATTAGATTCAAGTGGGTTATGAACTCCCATTTTTACCCCGTATATAGATTGCAGCATCACATCGGTTACACATCCATGTTTTTATATTGCCATACTAGTGTCTGTTGTATTCTGCTGCCTTTCCTATCCTCTACTATCCCCCTTCCCCTCCTCTTCCCTCCCATCTTCTCTCTCTACCCCATCTACTGTAATTCATTTCTCCCCCTTGTTTTTTTCCCTTTCCCCTCACTTCCTCTTGTATGTAATTTTGTATAACAATGAGAGTCTCCTTCCATTTCCATTCAATTACCCTTCTCTCTCCCTTTCCCTCCCATCTCTCATCCCTGTTTAATGGTAATCTTCCTCTCATGCTCTTCCTCCCTGCTCTGTTCTTAATTGCCCTCCTTATATCAAAGAAGACATTTGGCATTTGTTTTTTAGGGATTGGCTAGCTTCACTTAGCAAAATCTGCTCTAATGCCATCCATTTCCCTGCAAATGCCATGATTTTGTCATTTTTTAGTGCTGAGTAATACTCCATTGAGTATAAATGCCACATTTTTTTTATCCATTCATATATTGAAGGGACTCTAGATTGGTTCCACAGTCTAGCTATTGTGAATTGTACTGCTGTGAACATCGATGTAGATATATCCCTAAAATACGCTCTTTTAAGTTCTTTGGGGGAATAGTCCGAGAAGGGGAATAGCTGGGTCAAATGGTGGTTCCATTCCCAGCTTTCCTTAGGAATCTCCATACTGCTTTCC